TTTAATTCCTCCTCACTTTCTGCCATCAGAATGGTATCATCTGCATATCGAAGGTTGTTGATATTTCTTCCGGCACTCTTAATTCCGGCTTGGGATTCCTCCAGTCTGGCCTTTCGCATGATGTATTCTGCATATAAGGATACAGCCTTGTCGTACTCCTTTCCCAATTTTGAAGCAATCGGTTGTTCCATATTCAGATTAAAGGCTTTAGTGTATCAAATTGAGGACTGTCTGAACTTGCATAAGCTGAATCCTTTAACTAGAAAGGAATAAGTGCTTGCATAGAGCTTGAGCATTCCAGAGAATGTCTTTGTATCTGCATGCTAGCATGTATTTCATAAACCTGGTCAAGCGCTGTATCCAAACCTGGCACAGCAAGAAGTAAATCATGCTTACAAAGCCTGATTTCAAGTATATTGCTCTGTGTTGCAGTGGTTAACCCACTGCTCACAACCTGAGTTAAAGTAGTTTGCACAAAGTTGACTCAGATTAGTAAAATGAGTACCCAACATGCTTGGCAGCAAAGAGCCCCCTGCATAATTATGTTGTAAATCACCCACAAGGTGTTCTAGCACTATGGGGTGTTATATAAGTTGAAACAACTGGTATCCCCCCCCCCCCCAATTTCTTGTTTTCCTCACAATATGAAGTAATCTCGTCGAAGCAATTTTGTGGGCTGAAAGCACACATTTATTTGCTTAAAGCAAAACTAAGTCAGTCTGTGAGAAAGTAATTGTAGCAAAATGTTGAGCCTTGCTTTTCCAGTTTCATCTTGCCATGTGTAGTCTCTTCCAAATATTTTCAAAAAACTGATCGTGATGGCGATAATGATACCAAATTGTGCGTTTTTATCTACGTAAAATATTTTTACACTGCTGTTCCAGGCAAAGCCTTATTGTAATATACTTATTAAGACATACTTCACTTTTGAATATCCATCAGCATGGGTTGTAACCTTGCTGAAAATTTTGCTGCCCAGGACTGAATTTTGAAATAATACCTCCCGTTTCTGTTCTTTTATAAATGCTTCTTTTGTTTCTGCAGCTTGGTTGATGCTCCGTAAATCCAACAGTAAGAATGAAGGTCCATCATCAGTTCAAGACACTGAGCTGGTTTCTCTTTATCTTCATCGCACTCACAGCTCAATTAATCCGTCATGTCCAGAGTCAAGGTAAGCTTATCAGTAAGAATTTAAATGAACAGTTATTCGATATGATCATAGGGCTGTCTGATGTGCAGAAGTGGACTTTTCCAAGTTTATTCCTTACCATTTAAACAAACAAAAACTCTTGTATCAGCGTCTTTGGATTGGCTTCTTCAGATCTGGAATAGGCCTCAGGGTACTTGTTTTTAATATCTGTTGTACAGTTGTTTTACTCTGTTTCTGAGTGCATGTCAACTTTTCTTTCATGGAAAACTGTGGATTATAAGCTACTTCTACCCTATCACCAAGTACCATACATGCTACTTTTACCAGCCCTGTGACATATGAGTGGAATATATACTGTTTCTCTTGGTTTCATGAATGTGTCCTGGTATTGTTCAAGGTTCTGTTGCCCAGCCGCTCCTTTCCATAACAAATTATATCCCTATGGCACCATAACAGTAGATTTCACTTTTTAACAAATATAACCCATAGCATAAATATTGTAAGTTATAAGACAACCCCTAGCCAATTGTTAAACAAGCCAACTACAAAAGTAAGATCTTTGGTAGTTTTGTTTATCCACCTAGAGCTTGTCTTAAACCATGATTCCTGTTTCATACTTATCAACAAGCCAGGAAGCATAGGAATTGAAACTGAATTCTGGTTAAATTTGCCTCCCAACCACCAAGGAAACAGGGGGGAGGGGAGTGTGCAGACATGAGGCTTTGTATCAGGTCTGCAAAGACTTACCCATGGAGTTCTGAATCCTGGTTTCACGTCACATGAAAATGACCAGAATTCTATTGCTGACTTACTGTACATTTAAGTCTTAGTGGGATGTTACTGCTCATTAATGAAGTGCTAGTTGTGTTCTGGGGGGCAGGCACCCATGAATGCAACTGCCGCTTTATTAATGAGCAGCGTTTTCCTGACAAGGTTTCTGTTTCCTTGACATCAGCATAACTTGTCAATCAGAAGGAAATAATTCAGTAATTATGGCTAGCGTGCAGAGGCCAAACTCACACTTTTTGTTTCTTAACACTCCCTCTGATGTGGAAATGGTCTGTGGACATGGCACATTCTGCTTAGGTGGCCCATCAATGGATTAGTTTAATATATTGTTGACATATGAATTTTCTAGTTGTGAGCATTATGCCTTGTAAAAAGATTTCTGTTGTTTTCTGCTAGATCATCACTAATCGTGAATGACCTATTTTTAGTTTGCTGCAGACACTTACTTTCAACTGCAGAGAAATCAGGAGCCTGCGTTGCCTGTGGTCTCCATCATTAGTTATTGATTGCAAGCGGTTTACATAATACAAGACTGTCCTGGCAAGTTATAAGCAGGTTGCCACGTGTTCTGTAAATATATTCTGAACAGTAGCTAGTATTCATATTTGCTCCTTCTATTTACAGTATGTTTGTTGTCTGGGGACTGATCCGACTGGAGATTGGAAAAATTACTTTTTGACTACAACTCCCTTAATCCCCCCCCCCCCGGGACGTATTTGTGTTAGTCTTGTAGCAAAACTAACAAACAGCCCTGTGGCACCTTTATGATTGACCAGTTCTATTGGGCTTAACAGTTTGATGAGTTGCATCTGAAGAAGTGGACTATGGTTCACAAAAATGGACACCAAATAGAACTCGTGAGTCTTAAAGGTACCATAGGATGTTATCATATTTTCAGGATCTCCTAGCCGTTATGGCCACAATCCATGCTTACTGGGGTTTCCTGGTAGATGTTGTACGAAGAACCAAGTTCTCCTATCCCTAACTCTAACACAAACAAAATCGACAGATATTTTCCCTATCCACAGATGCCTTATGTTTCACATTGGTAAAAATACATAACCCTACTACTTTTGCTACACTTTGCTAAAAACTATTGTTTACCTACACTAGCTGCCACATTTGAATGTGCATCCATGGTTGTTAAAATGACCATAAATGACCATAGCAATGTGTCTGAGTTTATCTATGGTTGGCCAGCATCCTTTATGTTGACTAGATGGGTGCCATGGTAAGAGCTATAATTTACTAAGGGAACACACAGAGGCCAGACAAAGGAGTAAGGATAGCAGCTGAAACTCCATGCTTGCTTTCAGAGCTGGTACTGATATTATTGAACAGATTCATATTCAGTTCATTCTCAGCTCTTTTAGGTTTTATTTTGAGCTCTGCGCCATCCTCTTTAATAGTACAAAGATAACTTTTCGCTTTTCCATACAACAGAGGAGCACATTTATGATAACTGTTCCTAACAGCATGAAATACTTATGTTTCCTAAGCCCAGTATTTATTCCTTTGAGTGCAATTTGCTATATGAGCACCATCTGGGGTTTGTTTTTGTTTTTGTTTAATAGTCTAGTGCTATGTTTGGTTACTTGAAAGTAAGTTATTTCAATACAGTGTGCTAACCCCCAAAGTGATGTACATAGCATTGCAATGTGGCCTTGTCCATAGCGTTGCATTACAAAAAATAAAAATAAAAATCAAGCAGCTGGATTGAGTTTCTGCATTTGCTGGTTTCCTTCCTCTGTAGTTTAAACCATTTAAGGAAAACTGTTATTTCAAAATAAAGCTAGTTTTTCTTCTATAAGGGAAGCTGCTAGCTTTTTTGTTCAATGAATTGAACCTTTCAGACCACCTTCCATGTCTGTTATCAAGGTTGTTTCTGGAGCGCTACAACGGCAATGAAAAATAGCCAAGTTTGATAAGATCTGCAGAAGCCAAGAGCCTTGAACTTGTCTTTCGCCTTCTTGTGGATGAATGCTTTAATGTTGCTGCCGGCCATGAATTTGTGCATTCCTGCAAAATCACTTAACAAGCTCGAGCTACTGATTTTTATCAGCTTAACTTGACTGATTCTAGACTGATTCTTTTTCTTTCTACAAGAAGTGAGATTTTTTATTCCACAGGCTATAAAGGTGTTCCACAGAAATAAAGAGTCCCTCTTCAGGTTGGTGACGGTGAAGTCATTCCAATCAATATCTTGTTGTGTTTGTCCAAGAGTTAGAGTTTTAAACTTTCCTCTAGTTTGTGTACTTTCTTGTGCAAGAACACCAGTCTTTGCATAACTAGGTTAGGTATCTATTCAAAGGAACTCTTTTGGCCTCTATTTATTGTTATGAGCAAGGAATCTTCTTGGTGTGGATTTTCCTTCTTAACTTCACTCTTTCTTTTTGAATAAACAAGCAACTATTTGGTGAAGATTGCCTAGTTATGTAAAGACATTCCTGCACAATTCTTCTAGATTCTTGTGTTGTAGTTTTCTAGTATATACACAGAAACATCTGGATGACTGTGTCTTTCTTTTCATTTCTATGTTGGTTTAGGGATTCTGGAAATCTGCCTTGTTTGGTGATGGCTACTTATCAATGATGTCAACTTTCTCTTTCTTTAATGTGTTTCTTAAGCTGTATCTGAATGGTAGGAACCGGGCTGAGCCTCCAGTTTCTACAGTTTAAAAGGTCCCAGATAACTAAGATACCTGTACACAATCGTGGGTAGCTGCTGCCACTCAGAGCAGAGACACTACTGAGAGAGCTTGAAAATTGCTTTGAAAATGGATTAGTGTAACTATGTGTGGAGGCAGTCCGTTCATAACTCAGCAGTGGCAGGATGGAGCTCTGGAGCCCAGCCCTTTGAGGTACCTCTGCTTAGCTATGGATGGGTGACTTTAGCATGACATATTCATTTGTCTCAGAAGTAACTTTCTAAGAGTTTGCTCTGCCAAGTTCTGGCTCAAGACTCTTTGTTTCCAGAAATGGAACAGCCAAACCCTCAGTTCCACAAAACACAAGGAAGCTCAGTTTATTCTTGTATCCACAGAAGGAAATCCCAGAAACATCTATCCAGGGGAGTAAAAATGCAACAATACTAAATTAAATAACCAACATGTTGCTGCCTTTGACAGCCAAGGGCCAGACCAGGCTGTGACTCATTCATTATATGGGAGCTTCTAGAGGGAGAGAGACGGCTCCTGGGGAGTGCAAAGGTTTGCACTTGTGCAAATGAAATGAAACCCACAAGTGCAAGGTTCCTTATAAATGCAATGTGTCATTTGCATAATTAACTTGTAAATCACCCAGAGAGTGTTTGAAGCACTATGGGGCAGTATGTAAGTAGCACACATTTTACTTTAGTTCCTTGCCCTTTCTTATTCATAGAACTCATTTTCATGTTCAGCTGAAACAAAGAATATGCAAGTGGTGCCTCGCTAAATGATGATAATCCATTCCACTGAAATCATCGTCCATTCCACTGAAATCATCATCTAGCGAAAAGCATTTCCCCATTGGAATGCATTGAAACCTGTTTATTATTTATTTATTTATTTTATTTTATTTATATCCCGCCTATCTGGTCGGATTAGGACCACTCTACGCGGCTAACAACATAAAATAGTACAATACATATATATAAAACGATTTTTACATAACAGAAACATTAAACAAGATGGGAAAAACAATAGGAAAGGGAAAGAAAAAGGGCATCAGGAATACGTTCCAATGGGGAAGAATCGTCGTTGTCTAGTGAAGATCAGCCATAGGAAAGCCGCTTTGTTGAACTGCCGTTCAGCTATTTAAATAGCTGTCTTGCGAAGCTTAGGTCCCGAAAACATCCGTTTTGCAAGCACGGAAGGAGCTGTCAAAATCGTGGTGTAGCGAAAATTGGTTTGCGAAGCAGGGACCAAACATTGTCCAGTGAAATTCCCCCATAGGAATCACTGTAAAGTCAATGTCTAGCGAAAAAACTGTCATATGGGGTAAATGTCTAGCGAGGCACCACTGTATAGCTTTACAGATGTTGTTGACATGTGGGGCCCATCATCCCTCATTCTTAGCTATGCTGACTAGGGCTGATGAGTTCACAGGTCCTGCAATATATGGAAGACCACACATTATTTTTTTACCCTAACTAAAATGGTATCCTTTGACATTTCATTCATCTTTCCTCCAGGGAAAAAAGTCTGAACTGTCTTTACAACATTTTGTGGTTTCCCCATGGGATTATGGGAG